GCACATTAAGCATAATTTGATGGAGGAAACTTATCTTATTTAGAAACTTATCCAATTTAGCTTGGAAAGTTGCAAATTTATTCATAGTTCTTACCAAACAGTGTTAGCTAGAACAAGTACACTGCGATCGGCCGGCGGTGATGATGACCTGATGCGTTGATTCTTGTGTTGAGTCTTTCAATGGAAAAAGTTAAATGTCGTGCCATGAAAGAGCCGTGCCAGAAAAAGTCGCGCCAGAAAATTACAATCGTGCCAGAAAATTCATGTCATGTCGGAATGTTGAAGTCGTGCCGGAGTCACCGCAGATTTGGACGCCCCGCGGATTTGGACCCCTCCCCAGTCCAAATTCGTTAGCGGATATGACTATTGCGTCCAGCCACAAAAATAACTCAATCTGATTTTCTAAAATAATAACATTAAATAGTTTCTGAACGAAGACGTCAAGAGTCTGGCGATCTACAGACAATGCAGAGCCACTCGCCCTCCGAGGCAGTCTTAAATCCCTCGCAGCTCATGTGTAACCATTCCTCGCACGACTCGCACTGTACCATGTCGTCCCAACACTCGGGCATTGAACAATGTTTGTCTCTTATTGAATCTAGCGGTTTTCGACTATCGCGGAAAAGGTTCAAAAACGACCCTTCTCCAGACATTAAACCAAATTCTTGCCCATTTTCCCTTGGTCAAAAGAAACATCCGACGGGATGTCAGTTCGTATGCATTAACGATACGCATGTTTGAATTAAAAACATACTTTAGTACGCACTGGAACGTAAAGTAAAGTATCATCCATTTTTACTAGAACGTTAAGGATGATGCTTTCACTCAGTTTTGTTGGGGGGTCCAAATCCGCGGAGGGGGGTCCATATCCCTTAGCGGATTTGAACCGGGGGGTCCATATCCGCTAGCGGATTTGGACCGGGGGATCCAAATCTTGTGGGGTCCAAATCCGCTGGGACACCGGAATGTTGAAGTCGTGTTAAAGTTATGAACTCCATATTTTTTACCTAATTTTCTATTGTGTTAAACTGATTTAAGTATCTTAGCATAAATGTTCAATTGGCCTTGAGCTATTGTATTTCTTTTTTTATATTCCATGCTTTCGCAGATCTTTGGCACCATTCAGGAACGTAAATAATTTTCTATTTTCTTTCCATTTCCTAACGATACCGTAGATCGGTGAAAGCTTGGAATAAGGGAGAAATGCAGTTGCGCAAGGTATCAATTGAATCGTCCACTTGCCTGGTTTCTAATATAAGACCTGTTAATGTATATATAAATCACTGTTTCGCTGTGTGTCCATGTGAGCTGGGTTTGGTCCCGGATTTCCGTTTACCTTGAACATTTTCAGCTTTGTTGTTGCAGCGAATATAAAGCTGTTGCTTTATCAGACATCTCTGCGATAAATAACCCTTGTATTTGTTTCAGTTATCTTTTGTTTATGTATCGAATACACACTTAGAGTTTGGAAAATACTTTTGTTTTTAGGTAAATCAGTCTTGCATTTATCAGTAATTTTCTTTTCATTTTAGAGGAGATGCGGAGGAGGAAGGAAGGTAAGTTATATGTTACCTATGATGATTAACCTTAGTAAGTTTTATTTTGACAGTGTTTCAATATTCACTCTATGTAGTACACATTGGATGTGTATGTATGTTTGATAATAGCAAATGCAATCGATGATACATTAAAGTTCATTTTCTTTAGTTTATCATGGAACATTCTATTGACTTAAACTAATTTAAGCATCGTATTATAAATTTGTAACAATGGCCACAGCAAAAAACAAAAACAAAAACAATGATATAACGCAGCTCAATGCTTAGAGATGAACCTGAATCGTTCTCCGGTTGCGGAGTGTGTATCTCTGTAATACCCTCCACAGACAGAACTTAAGCAATTAGGCTTTAACGATTAGGCTTTAACGGCTGTGTGATCCAACCAGGTATTTACGGTCAAACGTTACCCGATAAAAGTCACTGGAAATAATACTGAGACTGATTAAATCGAATTGTCAGTGCAATCGGGTCGTTTCTTAACTTATGTTGAATCTGACTGAAAGATGAACTCATTTTTAATTATATACTGGAAGCGCCCGTAGTCAGTATGAAGCGAATTCTGTGCTCTGATTGGCTATCTGAGCGGGATTGCCTGCTCTGATCCCATCGCTGCTAACATGTCGTCCAATTCACGCCCCTAGTCCCTTTAGAAATTCATGCTAGAGGTCCTGTGGCGGTTAAGGCCTATAACGACGCCCTCAAAGACGGAGAGGCATCTGTAAACAGAATACCAGTAATCTTGGTCGGACAAGAGCGAACAGGAAAAACTAGTCTAAAGAGATCTTTAAAAGGAGAGCTTTTCGACAAATTTGAAGAAAGTACGGATGGAATTCAGGCAGATACTGGATATTTCAAAGTCTCTAAAGAAATTTGGAAGACCGGGAAAAAAATTGAAGATGCGGGTCCTGAATCAAGTATCTCGTTTGAAAACCTTGCAGCAGCTAAGTTGATTCTTGAACGGTTAAGGCGAGAAAATTTGAGTTCACAGGATGTTCCACAACAAAGTAAAAACGCCACTCATCTCGATACCGAAAAAACCAGCAGAGATACGGCATCATCTACTTCGAGTCAGCCAAATGGAAACGATGACAGTCCCTTACACATGCCAGAAATACCTGAAGAAGTACTTCATGAGCTAACCAAACTGCTACAGAGGGAGAGAGATGTTTCCGACATTAATGATATCTATTCAATCTTGTGGGACTTTGCTGGGCAATCAGTCTACTACGACACCCATCCAATTTTCCTGATTGAGAATGCTATCTATCTTTTGGTAGCCAATCTGAGCCATAATCCTGAAGAGAAGGCAACTCCACCTGTGAAGAAAGGATTGTACAGTAATATCGTAGACTCTCACAGCAACAAAACAAACCTTGACTTCCTTGACTTTTGGATGTCATCAATTTTTTCACTGGCGAGCCCAGAATCCAGCTGCTCAGATTCAGCCACAAATGGTCAAGAAAATTTACCCGGAAGACTTCCCCCAGTGTTTTTGGTTTGCACCCATGCCGACAAGCCCTTCTACAGGACTAAGGCTAGAGATCAAGCGCTTGAAATATATGGGTTTTTACGAAGCAAAGCATACAGGGAGCACCTTTTCAAGGACGTTTTCGCCGTGGATAATACCAAATCAGGAGGTGACCACGAGTGCCTAGAGGTCGTGCGCCTGAGAGAGAAAGTACTTGCTGTAGCAAAGGAGTTCCCACTGATGAAAACAAAAATACCATTGAGGTGGTTGAAGTATGAAAACTTGCTTCACATCCGTATGGAGCATGACAAGTGGATACCGCTGAATGAAGCCAGGCGCATTGCATTTGACGAGTGCATTATTCATAACGAGGCAGAATTCTCGACCTTGTTGAATTTCCTGCATGATCAGAGAATTGTTGTTCATTTCAGTGGCTCCCCAGAGCTGGAGAGGATGGTGATCTTAGATCCCCAGTGGCTTGTCGACGTTCTCAAGAAGATTATCACTGTAAAGCGGTATGAACACTCTGAAAAACAAGTAGAGTCCATGTGGTTAAAGCTTGAAGACACAGGGGTCTTAGATGAAAGGCTTATCGACCATGCATGGAGAGACTTGTTTGACAACCAAGAATCCCGCGACAGCCTCATTGCAATCTTGGAAAGATTGAGTCTTCTTTGTTCTTGGCCGTCCGCTGATTCTAACAAGCAATATCTTGTGCCATCCATGTTGATGTCACCCCCAACGAAGGATGTCCTGAGGCTTCTCGCCTCCGCAAAAATGCCATCACTTTTTATCACATTCGCGTCAGGTCGAGTGCCCCCTGGTCTCTTCTCCCGACTTATCCTTCTTTTCCTCCAATGGTGCAAAGAAGAATGGAAGAGCGAAGTGAGCCCACAGTTGTTTCATAATTTTGCCATGTTTTATATTCTTCCAGGCCAAGGTGTGTCCTTGATTTTTCTGTGCCATTCCTCGTCGATCGAAATCGTCGTTTACAGTGGAGACATCGACAACGAGACAGGAGCAAAGTCTTCTTATGAAAACTATGACCAAACTCTAGGCCGTGCTATTCACTGGAAATTGAGATTGGTACTGGAATGCATGCGCAAAGAGTTCCACTGGCTCAAGAACGTGAATTACGATATGTGTGTCTGCTGCCCAGTATGTTCTCAAGCAGGCTCTATCAAATGTCGCGCTCATGACGTGTATGGATGTGAGTGTCTACACTTCTTGTCAGAATCTGATTTGAGACAGCGTCAATATTGTGACAGACCAGGACGCAGCCTTACTGGGGATCGCAGGATTCGGGTCAACCAGTTTGAATGTTGGTTCTCATTCGAAGACGTAGAGAAAAGTGCTGGAATTTCAACGAATCGGGTAAGTTAAGTTAATAATCTAGAGGCATTTTCATATAAGGTCAGTGTTTACATAATCAGAATGAACTTGACAAGTACATGTATAGTATAAAACAGTATAGTGGATAGCGTTGAAGGCGGACTCTGAATAGCTAATCAAACTCCGCATATCCTTTGTCATTTACCTTCGAGCAACTCGCACGGGATTTTCGCCCGAAATTTGGGTAATCGTTGCAGGAATAAATGATTTAAAATCATAATTTTGTGCTATGTTATCTCAGAGTTTAAGTATATACTAAAACGTTCACTCACCTCCATTTCGTTGAATAGTTGATTAATAATAATAATAATGATAATCATCGAAATATTTGACCAGGATAACCCTTCAATACAAAAGTACTGTTATCAACGGGATCCTGCTTATTGAGAATTAAAAACTAAGAAATAAGAAATATTAAAATATGTATAAGATAGTACCTATAATACAAAAGACACTTCGTTAAAAACTGCTGAAACTACAATAGAAATCACAAGTAATAATTGTCCAAGGCTTTCCTAAATAAAACTTTAGAGTTAATGTTCCTCAAACCCAAAGGTAATGAATTAAAAATCGAGGGACCCAAAAAATAAAAACTACGGCGCGCAAAATCCAGTTTGACCCTTGGTACCTTTGTTGATTTCCCATTGTTTCTAGTGTTTAACGCGTTATGATGTAATCGTTGGAAGTAGTCCCTAAATGGGAGACATACGGTTCCATTAAGGCAGTCAAATACAGAGCAGCATGCTCTCTCCTGTTAAAAGTTGTCAATTGTTAAAAATCGAAGATCATAGTTCTGTGGACTGCATTTAGGGGAAATGGCTTCGTGGCTTCTGGCCTCAGTGGAGCGGATCATGCGTTTGCGGGACTCTGACCATCAAAGACTATTATACCCGCAATACGTAAATATTAGCTTAATCATCGATTTGTAAATTCTATGGGCGCTGAAGGTATCAATGCTGGAGCGGATACGCCGTAAGAGGTTCATTCTTGCTGCTGCCTTCTTGTATATTTTATGAAAATGCGTGTCAAGATTATGTGTGGGGTCCAACTGAACACCGAAGTACTTCTAAGATGTAGTGGTATTGATGAGAGAACCATTGACCGAGATCTTGACTTGACAACCAAGTATATAAGGAAATAAGTATATATTGGATATAAGTTCTGCATGTTGACTTTCAATACATCGTGGTGAATTTTAAATGAATAAGAAATAAGCTAAAATTAATAACAGGCAAGAAGTCACTAACCCAAAGCTGAATAAAGTATTGGATCTGTGTCTCCACCTGAAGATGTTCAAGATTGATTCATAAAATCTGCACCATACGAGCGATTATAATTTTCATCATATCTAGCCTTCAAATCAAGGAAAAACTTCTCTCCTGGCAATAATATAGTTGTGGCGTACTCGTTACTAGATTGAAATAACAAATACAATTTAAAGAGTTAACATTGTAGCCTGCAACGTGTAGCTGTCCGTTTAGTAGGCCAGCCAGTCCCATCCTCTCGCTAGAGGCAATAAGACGCGAATACATTTTGTTTTTTTAAGGCCATTTTAAAGTTGATTTAATTTGCTTTGTTTATTTAGCAGCCGCAAGCTTTTAATGCATCAGGACCTGAAAGTTCTTTCGATGAAGAAGGCATATTTCCCTTGGAAGGTGAGTGGCCTTTCTTTTTCATGTCATCATCGCATAATGAAAATGTTTTACTAAAAAGAAAAACTTGAAGGTATATGAAAAGAAAAAAATTAAAAAAATAAGTTTACTTTAGGATTCTTTCAAGATCCATTTATGGATTATGATACGAGAGCATTTCGAACAATGTTCTCTCTCCCGGAACTGGCAAAGTTATCAGTTCATGATATAGAGCGTCAACAAATAACTTTCCTTCATCGTAAGTTTGTCATCTCAATGTAGCTCTTTGTTTTTTCAATGATTTCTGTATCATTTCCAAGGAACGACGCGGAAAGAACTTGCGCTGCCAGAGAATGTCAAAAGTTCCATTCAGTCCATTTCATTCCGTTCAACAAGTGATGTTAAGGATATTGTGATTCAGTTTCAAGAAACTCTGCATTTGGAACCGGCATCTTTGACCAGTCCAGAGCCCGAGACGAAAAGTATGATTCGTGGCCTTGCTTTGAGAGCAAAATCTGAGAAAAGGGATGACTTGGTGAGACACTTACGAAAGATTACACCTGCTGGTACTACTGGTGAGTTTAAGAAAGATAGGGTATTTTTTCCCGGCGAAGGGGGATGAGGTCCTGCGATATAAACATGTACTCATGTTAGCTTCCTGCCTATACTGCATGAAAATAATGTCGACCTGCTCTTGATTTTTTTTGTGCTGTTGGATTCCTTGTTGATACCCTTTTGATCCACTGTAATTAATTTTCTTTTAGTTTAATTTTGGTATTAAGTTTTCCAATACCCATTTCACTTCAATTATCTTCTGTTTCTTTTTTTTATATACGTCTCTGCAGGGCCGTTGTTGAATGAGGATCTGCCGATTGGTTGCATGCCTTATAAACAATACAAGGATTTGACGTTCAGCCTCTCGGGTAGGGAATTAAGTTGGCGCCTTTACACCAATTTATCCATAAACAAGTCGTCACCTTTGATTGAACTCATGGTTAAGGAAAGAGGAGCCTCGAAGGAGCCTCGAAAAATTTGTACCTCTACAAGATTTGATTTTGCAAATGTGTTTGCTGATCATATTCCGGCTAGATCAGTTCATAACTAGCTAAGTTTCGTCAGCTTTCGTCAAACCTCTCTCCAGAAGGATGAGAAAACGATAATTTAGACGAAATTTGGAGGATAACGACGCGCCAAGGAAATTTCAGCAGTTTGTGCCACTTAACACTACAGTCTAAACAGAGTATGGGAGTTGACTTCAAAATTTGTTTTTAATTGTCGTACAATTTATAAAACAGCGTTATATTTTTATTGTCGTAGGTGGAGACGAGTGGAAACTTCTAGCTGAAAGGTTGGGTTTCTCTCAAATCGAGATTCGCTTTTTAGACAAGAGAGTTATGAATCCTTCTGACGTTGTTCTTGGCGCTGTGGGAAAGCATCGCCACTTAAGTGTTGGAGAAATCTATGACACATTAGTCGACTGCGAGCTACCAGCTGTTGCAGATCTAATGTAATTAAATTAGAATATGAACACCGGACGAAGGTGAGCGAGACAGCAAGAAGCAGAATCGAAAAGCAAGGTAGTGACCGACGAATTACTAACAAAATATATATGGAATAATGTATTTCCTGAATTTTTAATCGATGTGTCAGAGCTTTGGTCTGTTTTAGGCAGCATTTTAGCAGTTTTTATAGTCACTTGCAATCGCACTTTTATAAAGTAAAAAAAAAAAAATTTATATGTAGTATTCAAAGATAAGCTTTCGCTCTTCTAGTGATCAGACAACAGGTTTTCTTTCTTAGCTTTTTTATTGGGATGTTATCCTAGTTTTTTTTCTTTGATATCTGAATAGTTCTTTTTATTAATTTCCATATAAAACGTTTGTTACATTACAAACAATAGTATCAAGCCTAAAAGCAGAGCTCCAGTTCTTTTTTTTTTCTGCCTTCTTTTATTATTTACGTAGAGGGGTTGGTTGGGGTAGTGTATGGGGAAAAAATTGGTAATCCAGGTAATTTTGTAGCAGTTAGAGGGTGGGGATTCTTCGTTTGCTAAATATATAATATACACTAGTTTCCTGAGGGACCAGACATTAGGTGCTTTCAATCAAATGACAAAAACAAACAAACCAAGACGGCACAACTTCAAATCGTGATAATCCAGGGATCACGTTTTTCATGTAGCAGTTAGAGTCGTATCCCGGTCGGGATACATTTGAATTTGATTAGGGGCACGTGACCAACCATTACAGTGCTTGTTTTGTTGAATGAAAGTCGAGGTATATAACAAGGGGTTTCGTACACTGATTCATCGGAAAATGAGCTTATGGGCGGTATAATGACAAGTGGGTCAAAACTTCAACAAGACCACAATAGGAGGGCACTTGCATTTTCAAAAAATTTTTAAGCCTCAGCCTGAGTAGCTATCATTCAAATACCAAATTATTTTACATTTTGGCAACTAAGGATATGTTTAAAACAATTGAGATCCTGAGAGCGCCTTGATCTGATTGGTCAAAAACCTATTGTTTATTTTAAAACCATAGAAAATTAAAACTTTTTAAGCTTATTTTAGAAAAGTAATAGTATAGACCGCACTTTCTACCGGTTTACCGGCGTTGAGATATTGGTACGTTGGGAAAACAAGGGATGTTGGGAGAACACTCGAATAGGTTGTTATAATCACTCGCCTCCGGATCGTGTTGTACAAACTTTCTTAGTATTATCCCAAATACTGCAAGGGCTATTACGCCGGTTAACCGATAGAAAGTGTGTGTTCTACTTTCTTAAACATGAAGCCAGTATGGCTTGATTTAGAGCAATTGTTGTATTTGGAGACTACGGCGAAGGACTAAGCCGGGTTGATTTATCTCCACTAACAGAGGTAGCCTTGGTTAGGGTGCGGCAGTCTTCCACACATTGGAGTCATGGCCTTTAATCCAGTTTCCAAAAAAGTATATTTTCTTTGTTTTATAGCTAATTCAATGAAATTTTTAGATGCACCAGTAATTCTAATTTGCCATTTGTAGCGAACAACGAATTTTTAGATGGTGAGCACATGATGAAATAATCCAGTTTTGCATTACATTTATGTCTACATGGCTATGGTTTTGGTGCTAATTTCTTTATTTTTGAGTGTTTCGTGCAAGTAATTAAAGAAACAAGAACAAAAAATGTTCATTATATCGGAATATTGTTACAACATAATAGCAGGGACTTACGGTGCAGGGAAGGGATAGGATCTTTTGCTTAAGAGTTCGAATAAGTAACATACAAGACTCGTTTGAAATATAGTCGTAACCAGTAAGTTTTTCCTTCTATTCAGCATCGAAAAACTTTCTTGAAGCGCGGAGCTCGAATGAAGTGACAAGGTTTCCTTGTACATGTAACGTTTCTGTATTGGTATCCAGTTTTCATATTATCTTGACAGTTAGAAAACAATGATTTCGTAGTTAGTAACACATGTACACTCTGAAACTCGCTTCTCGGGTTGATGGAAGAATAAGACGGATTTTGTTTCAGAGAGAAAAAAACTTAGTTGAACATCAGATTAACCTTTCAGATTGCAGTTACCCATTTATACCCATAGGTAGAGAAGGACGTTTTGAGAGTGAACTGCACAATTGAAAAACAATGATTGTTGTAGTTAGTAATATACACTGAAATATATTAAATCTTCGGTTGTGCACGAATCAGTTTTGAGTGTAACTACTGTAGCAACACATTTTATCTTCCCCTTGACCTATATGTATGCCTTGCATGCCAATGTAAAGCCAAAATAAAATCGTGTGTTTTAGCTTGACATGTGATTGAATGAGAAAATTAGTAAATCTTAGTTCGCTGGACGAAATTGAAAGATATAGTTGTACATTTTTCCTAACTCATTTTTTCAGATTCCCTTTTTTATCCGCGGTTAACCATTCATACTCCTGAATAAAGAAAGACGTGATGAGAGAAACGTGTCTCCCATAAAAACAGAACACAATGAACTGAACAGGGCAACTGAAGCTCTTCACCGCTACCCCCCGTCCCCCTTCCACATCTCCCCCCGGTGCCAAGGTCAGTTAAGGCCTTTCTTGACCTCTCATTCCAGCGATTAGCCATTGCTGATCATAAACCAAATTCGAGATGATTGTTTTGTTTTTTTTTTATCACCTTTTTATGTAAATTGTTACAAGTGTTAACTTCATCTTTCCCTTTTTCCTAAACTAGACTTTTTTTTAAATGGATGTACATAGTTTTTCACGATAACTTAATGAATCTATTTATTCTCAATGTTTGAAAACCTACCGTTCCCCCAGCTGAGACTATCCAGTGAAGTCAACGATTAAACGAACGATAAAAATAAAATTAAAAAAAACTGCCTAAGCATTGCATCCAGAACTTAATTGGTTTTTGTAATTTTATATCAATAACTACGAACTGCGATTCGACGGGGAGTTGGACAATCAAACTAAAGTAACCTAAATGAACGATACGACAAAAAGAAAAAATACCAATGGCATGCGTTTGTTATTCTTCACAACCCTGTCGATAAACTTCAACTCGTACTAAAGACAGCGCTGACTTAATTCAAAAGCTCTGGTCTGAGTAATTCATGAAAACATAATTTTTTTAAAATTGTGGCTCACATTCTGTCTTAAAAACTGTAGCCCAGTGGGATTATAGTCAGGCTTGTGACTTTACTAATGTCACAGTTATCACCGTAAAGACTTTTAGTTTTTTTTAAGAGCACGATGATCCTACTCGCTTCAAAGGATTATGTTGACCTCTAAGCTCTAGAATAATCATATTGCCATTGATAGCGAGACAATTCTTTTTATCTGCCTTTTTAAAGATGTTTATCATCAGTTTCCCATCGTTAACAGAACGCGTACTTTTATTAAAATTTATTTTCAACAGATGTAAGAATGTACCCGTTAAATCCTATTTTAATATTTAATTTATTTGAATATTTTATTGAAATAAGCTTTCATGTTTTGGAATCAGGATTTGTTTTCACTTTGCTTTCATTTCTTTTATTATAAATGAAAACTTTCATATTCAGGTCGGAACACAAAATCCTCAGTGTAATCTCTTTTTTTTTTGAGCCGTTCGTTTTAAATCAAGAATTAAGTCAATTAAGAAAAAAACCAAAAAAAACGAGGAGTACCATGAAGAGTATTTTAATTTAACATTAGTCATTAACTAGTAGTTGAAATTACTAGTTAAGTAGTGTTGATAGCTGCGAGGATCGCTTCTATGTTCGTTTCTTCAATGGCAGTGCACATATATGATTTTCATATATTTACAGCCATTCGTCACTTGGAAGGTTTATTTAGATCCAACGTAATAAACAACTCCTAGTTGGCTTGTTAGCTCAGTTGGTAGAGCACTGCACCGGTATCGCAGAGGTCAATTGAGTTGAATTTTTTTCAGACCTTATTTCAACAGTGTTGATGGCTGCGAGGATCCCTTCTATATCCGTTTCTTCAACCGCAGTGCACATATATGATTTTCATTAATTATACAGATACTGATGAAATACCAGGATTTTTCCTTCTACTAAAAAATCATATCTTCATCGCGCGCAGTGAAGATATTATTTTTATCTTTCACGTGTAAGGATATTGGTGTCGCCATGGTTACTAACATGATTAGCCAATTACAAGAGAGCTTCCCGCTCAGGCGCGCGGCTGGTTCTTTTGAAATTTAATTCACAAAATGGCTTCGAGGTGCGAAGACGTCACAGTTACAGGTGACGTTCTCGATGAGCTGCCAAATTTTCACATCGATACTTTTTCCGAGCTTGAAGAACATTCAGGAAGATTTGCCGAAGTCTCGGAAAGTGATGTTGAAAAATTAATTGAGGGGGAAGAAAATGCAAACACTGAAAACAAAGACCTTCTATGATTGGTATTTCATCAGTATCTATAAAATAAATAGAACATTACCGTGATATCACTTCGCTCACTCGTGAGAGATACTTTCAGCACGAGAAGATAAAATTCGTATCCCCAAGCGGCCATGTACTATCCTCTATATATTTACACCCCATGATGACTGAGCCATCATTCGAGTAGGAACTCTAAGCAGCTCAGCATGATATTGATGTTGCACTCGAGTTTTATCATTGATAACATTTCATTCTAATTCACAGCACGCCGCGGTCAAAAAACATATACATGGAAAATGGGCTGAATTCTTAAAAATTAAGGCTACGATTTTCTCTTTTTAAGTTTTTATACTTTACATTTGTGCATCAGCGTCGATAGAGTTTTTGGAGATTCAATAGACCTGGCGATTGCGTATCCCTACTGTGCATATTGCTTTGCTCCTTGAGAAAATGGCGGCTGTTATTAGGGCCTGAACTCGCGCTCAGTTGATTTGTCATTTGCTCATGAACGAGCTCGGTGATTCCTTTTTGAAGAGAAAGAACGCTATGGTAGTATAACTCATGATAAAAGACATGAAACTCTGCGTTTATGGGGTGATAACTAAAGGCTCCATCTATTAGTAGTTTTACCACGGCAGAGGGTAGAAAAATAAGCATACTCCTTTAACTGATTATAATTATAGTTCGGGCGTAAATTGATTGCTAGCTAGAATCCCGGTTCGAGTTGTTGTATAACATGTAACAGGCTATCACTAGCAACAATTTTCGGTCGCCCACTTTTTCACTTTTCCTTTAAAATAAGTATCTAGGCAAAGGCTAGCCCTTACACAAATTTAAATTAAAGAATCTCTACAAACATTTGACTCCTGTTCCAATTCATTTCGCTTGTTGCGTTTAAGCTTAACACTAAGTATGTTGTGTAAAAAGGTAAAAAAGGAGACTTTTGATAGATCTATATTGACTTTCGAGGCCTGGGTTCATTTCTTACAACAACGCCAGCACACAAATATGACAAAGATGGAAAAAACTACGCCTCCCGACACCGAAATCCCGACTTCGATTTTGAATGAGCCTGTGTCAGTATCTGTATCTGTAAAGGAGAAGAAATAAGAGAAGCAATCAAAACATTTGATTTAGATCAATAGAAAAGTCATTTGAATGATCGATTAGCCGCTTTTCAAGCAATAAGATAAAATTTTTAAAAAATTTTTAGAGTTTAGTTTAAAATGTTAAACTCAGTGAGAAGCACTAAAAACTTGGAGTTGT